TAGAAATTGAAATTTTAATCTCTACTCCAACATATATATGTAGATTAGTTACAAGGTGATATGTAAGAATTGTGAATTAAATAATTTGAAGATGTAAAATATGGTTATATAATGAAATTAAGTAGACAGACGATGATATCGTATTTGATATTACTTCAATGATATCGTTCGTTAGAATGAAGAATAATACGAGAGACTATGGTCAAAATTAGTTCAATAAGGTATCTAGGAATTTTTTTAAAATATACATATTCAAATGAATATCAATGTTTTATCTAGATTGTCTCTTTCTGAGGAGCGATTTAAAACTTTGAGAAGGCAAACATCGATTTTTGAGAGCACAGAAATATAGTACTTACTAAAATAATCACAAAATCCGGGAGAGGTAATCCGATATTTGAAGAGGTGCTGCCCTCGCACTGAATAAAACACTGATGAATGCTTTTGTCAATATGAGAATAAATGAATTGAATTATCAATGATTTAAATACGAATATGATAAATAATATTCTGTTTTTAGGGACAATACAATTTTATTAAATTAACAATTGATTTACCAATTAGCTGTCTATATGATTTGCAGACAAAAAAATGATCAAACATTCGTATTTTTTAGAAAATTACAAAAACAAATGTTACAACTCTATTTTAGTTCATTTAATTTGATGAATTTTATTTTTCAGTCTATTCTAGAAAATCTTTCAACGAAATCCATATGATATTATAAATATAAATTATGATAAATTCGTCAATGTTGTCAACGAGAAATTTTTTTAGCAAGATCTCATCCTTCTTATAAGATATATCTTGGACTTTAAAACAAAAAAATTTCTAAACATATGCTAACATTTGTCAATATATGTGTCACCATATTGCATGAGATAAAAATTCCTTCGAGATGTCTCGGATAGTATAAAATATACTATTAGCCTTATCTCTCTCTTTTATCACAAACAATAATATGTCGAACATAAGAAGTTTTATTTTCTTGTTATAAACTTCAATATTCATTGACAATGATGTCCGATAAAAAAAACAATTTATCTACATAGAATTATCTTAATATAACTATGACAATGATTACATATTTTATACATGTATTCTTAGTAAATATCAATCATTATGACAAAATAATGGTACTTCTGAAACGAAATAACCATTATAAAAAAAAAAGAGTTGAATTACAGTAAAATATTGATAAAACTGACACCAGTTTTCAATCATATTTGAATAAGTTCTTATGTTAGATGATTATTTTATAGATTCCTCCTACATTCTCCTCTCCCACGATAATATTAATCATACAATAAACTATCTAAATATCATTGAAAGAATAATCATACACGTGTACACGCACACCCGCATCTCATTGTTGAATCATAAACAATCATTCATATTTTATTATTAATATCGGCTCATGGCATTTTTCCTCTCAAACACAAAAAAAAAGAAAAAACTCACAGAAAGGATAAAAACGAAAAAAAAAATATGTTCTTGTTTTTATCTTTATTGTAATACATGACGTGAAAACCCCGTCAGAAAAGATAGAAAGCAAAAGAAAACAAGAAATGTGTCAGTCTACATCAATAGATTTCTTGCTATTTAAACCATGCGTTCTGACGTATTATTTTTTTTTTCTTTGCAAGGGCATAACACGTTACAGAACGAAAATTTATTTTTTCTGACAACATTTTATATAAAAATGTATTGACGATGAAGACTCAAACAGTAATATCACCGTATGCGATCAGATTCTATTATTAAATTGATTGACTAATTATGTGTATGAATATTTTACAATTAGAAGATCGGAATTCTACATTGAATCCTTCAATGATTAAGACTGAAGTATTATCACCGGAAATAGCAGCATATCCTATAAGTTCATCAGAAAATAGTCTTATATCTTTTGATGCTAATGATATTATTGAATTTGGTCCAATTAAAGTCAAACGACGTAAAAAACCAGCACCTACATTAGCTACTGGTCGACGGTCAAAATATGAAATATTAAGTCCAGAAGAAGAACACAAACGTGATATAAGACGAGCACGTAATCGTGTAGCTGCTGAACGTGTACGCGTAAGTCGATTATGTGTTGAACAACAATTACAAGGTCAAATAGATGCGTTACAAGAACAAGAACAAAAATTATTAAATCATATAGAAATTCTTCAATCCCAAAAGCTAAATTTAGAAACACGAGTTTTTACACATGAAAAACTGTGTCCTATTAGATCATTATCGAATGCACAAGATCATCTCACATCTACTTTTATCTCAAATAGTGTTCCAATATCAACAACAATTCAACAAATAGAACAAACATCTGAACCTTATTTTGAGGACTTATTTCCTAATTCAACACCTCTTGTACAAACCCAGCCAAATAATTATTCGAATTCATTAACAACTACAGTGTCCGGTGATGATTTCGATATGTTTTTCATGGATCTGTAAATGATATTCATATCTTAATGTTCTGCGTATTTATGATATTACTATCCAATTAAATAATGCATTCAATATAAAAAATTGTTTTTTTTGTATTGGTGTTTGGATCCGATCGGGTTTGTTGTGAGATAAAATGATATCATATTAGTAATGAAAAAGAATGAATAATAATTTTCGTTTCTTTTCTCTTTTCTTTCAACAAGCTCGTATCAATGAATGTTCATATGTGATATATATTCGTTTTTCGATTAGATTTTTTTTAGTTTTTGAAAACAAACAATATAAAATGAAAATAATAAAGACAAAATAGACAAATAGAAAACTAAACAAAATTCTGATTAACAACAACATTACAATGATAATTCATAGGAATTGATTATATTCGAAAGCTTTGCTTATTTTTCTCTTATTCTCCTTGAAAATCAACATCGGCATCATTACATTTCTATGCACCATTTATTTTTACCTGCAGGCAGAATAACAAGCATTCTCTTTCTTTCCTTTTTGACATTTTATATAATTGATTTCATGGCATAAAACAGATTTTTTTTAGTCTTGAACAAGTTCTCAAATATAAAAAAGATATACTTTTGCATGTTTCACTTATATAAAAATAAGTATTTCTCATCTGACTCATGTCTTGTCCTTAGCAAATATGATAATTATACTCTTTGAAAAAGAACATAGACTGATAAATGTAATAGATTTGATGTTGCATGTTATGAAACATATAAAATATATTTATGTCATGAATAGAGATTTAGTATATTGTTAACCTTGTATTTTTTTAAATATATGATGAAAGAGTAAGAGGAAGAGAAAAAAAACTTCGTATGAAATTTATTAATATTTGCAAAATCGAGAAGTGTAAATTTTGTTTTTAAATAGATTTTGATATGTATTATTAAATAATATTCGTTTTCTCTTACAATATTTATAGTTGTAATTTGAATAAAAATAAGCATATGTATTTAACTTTATTTTTTTGCGAAACGATCAGTATGTTCTGATATTTCTACAAGAATAAACTCAAAGTGAAACTGTTTGATCTGCACAATGAGAAGTGCTTGACCTGTACAACAAGAATAGTTTGATCTTAATAGCACGACCTTCAGTTTTTTTTGAGTGTTTTCTTTAACTGACATTGATCAAAGAAAAAACTTGAAAGCAAAAAAAGTAAAAATAAAAACGGATCGTTTTCCTTTTTTTCTTTTACTTTTTTTAAAAATTATTCAACTGCTTCAGCCAAATATTTACTGCTTAGAGAATATGATTAAATAAGATTCAGTTTGAAAATAAATAATTTAAAAAAAAAAATCAAGAAAATATCTCTTTTTTAAATTACAATTAATATCAAACTTAATATAATATTATAAAACATAATATAAACTACTGAATATCAAATAGAGAAAATATTTAACAATAATGAATATTCAATAAATATAAATTTATTTCACTAATGTGCAAGTAACATTAGGGGAATGTTTTTATTTTGAATTTATAAAACAGTTTTTCTAATAAAATTTCTTAATATTTGCACAGATTTTCTTCATTGTATTAGATATTATACAGAAAGACAGAAGGAAAATAACGATGAAAAACATATATTTTAAATTGATAAATAGTAACTATGTATATGGTTACATTTAAAATAACTAACTTAATGAAATAAAATGAATTAATTTCTATATTATTGCTAAATTTTTATTCTATAAAATGTATTAGAGAAACACCTACCGAAAAGTTCTGTTTATTTATTTTATTACGAAGACTGAAGAATATACAGCAATGCCAATATGGTTATTTATGCCAACAGGATTTTTCGTGATGCTTTTATATGAAAATGCATGATAATCAGAATATCTATTCAGAAGATATTATTTCCGCTTATCAGCAAATGTCTTCAGCCCTCATGGTGTTTTTTGATTTGATAAAACTTTTTAAAATTACCATTGCCAAGATTTATGTCTCGAAAAAATATTTATAAATTAGCAAAATGATTATATATCATCTTAATTACACCATTCAATTATTTGTATCATACTTATTTTAATTTTGACATTCATGTCAATCAGCTATAAGATGTTTCTATTTATAAAACGTTACATCACCCCTTATGACGTTTTTTATTTTCACATGAAACAACATTTGATTGACCTTTTTTATTTTATTTAAATGGAGATGCTCCTCTAAACATAGTCTCAAACTTTGTCAACTTGTAGAGAATACCTTCAATGATATGCCTCTGCAATAAAAAAATGAGTGAACTATTCACTGAATTATTAATTAAGTTCAAAGCTAATTGAAAATTTTAGGTTGAGTAGCATTTTATAAAAAAATTCCTAATGTTTCATATGAATGTTATATTTAGTTGATTCTGATGTAGTTTTGTAGACAACTATTTGTAGACATAATTCCATAGAAAAAATTATTAAAGATGACTTTTTTGTGGTTCGTTTAATTATTAATTAGTTTACACTCTAGTATAAAAAGTAAATTTTCCTGATGTGAGAATGCATCGAAAACAATCGTGCAGTATATCATTCGATAGAGCTTGAATAGTTCTATTGATTACTCAACTAATATTTTTTTTCAAAAGTTTTTTATTTTCGAAAAACAAAAATTCGATAGTATGGACAACATGTTGTAAAATTGGCTTGTATCTTGCGATTTTAACTATGATAGTTCTGTTTACAGCCAAAATGGATATAATATTTTGAATCAACATCAAAAACTGAGTCGCATAATATGTTTTTTATCCCGAAGAAATTCTGTAAAAATAGCATCTGTACTTCCCTGCAGTCTTTCTTAAATAATTTCCTCCGCAGTACCTCCGGCATACAGTTTTTGGGAAAAAACAATTTTTTTTTTTTTTTGCATAAAAAATATATCATCCGAGTCAATTTTTGATGCTGATTCCGAATATTATATTCATTTAGGTCATGAATAGAAATATAATAGTTAAAATCGCAAAATACAAGTCTATTTTGTAACATGTTGTCTACGATGTCGAATTTTTGTTTTTCGAAAATGAAACTTTTCAGAAGAAATGATATATTGCACGACTGTTTTGAATTTATTCACACATAAGAAAAATTTACTTTTTATACTAGAGTATAAACTAATTAATAATTAAACGAAGCACAAAAAAAGTCATCTTTAATATTTTTTCCATGGAATTATATCTACAAATAGTTATCTACAAAACTACACCAAAATCAACTAAATATGACATTCATATGAAACATTAATAATTTTTAAAAAAAATACTACTCAATCTAAAATTTTCAATTAACTTTGAACTTAATTAATTTATAATTCAGTGAATAATTCACCATTTTTTTCTATTGCATAGACATACCATTGAAGGTATTCTCTACAAACTGACAAAGTCTAGGGGTATGTTTAAGGGGATATCCCCGGCTCATTAAACGTGTTATTCTTTACTAAACGGATTATTCAACCGAATAACTGTCAAAAAAAAAATCCTATTACATATTTATTCATTCACATTAGATTATCATATGACTTAATTTTGTCAAAGAAAAATAAAAACTCGAAGAATTTGTTTTTTTCATGTAAAAATTCGTTATGTTAGGTATATTCTAAAATTTAAAATTACAACAATTTTCATGTATAAAAATCTCAAAATAGACTTAATAATCATTGAATGCTTCGAAATTAAGTTATATTCTTGAAATCAATCTTTTTATAGAATATGCAAAATACTTGTTACAATGTTCTTAAAGATCTTAATTTATATCTTATAATATTTATTATTACTACATTTCGACATGAAAGTTATTTGTGTACTAATTAGTTCATACATATTTCCTTCAATAATTTTAAATATGATGTATTCTAAATTATATAACTATTATTATTTAAATAATCAGTATAATATTCAAAGAAAAATCAAATAATTCTAGCTTGGTTGAACAAGGTTGTCATATAATTTTTAATCTGGAATTAAAATATCAGTACGAATAAACAATAGTTTAAATTACAGAAAAAGAAATACTCAGTTGTTTTTTTATTCTTGTAAATTTGAAGAAATGATACCGTGAACAATATACGAGAACAACATCGAAGAAGAATAGCAGGATGAAATATTTAAAAAGAACAAAAAAAAAGAAATTTAAAAATCCGAAACAAATGATGCATCAGAACTAAGTACTGAAGCACTTTGTGCTATTGACAAATTTCGTTTGTGTTTATCGATTAAATTTATATTTGCTGATATTGTTAAAGATTGTTTATTTAAATTTGATTGATATGTATTATTTTTTAATGTTAGTGTTTTCATTGGTATTTTTTGGTTTTTTATTTGATTAATATTATTTTTATTTGTTGATAATGTTAAATTTCTTTTTGTAACTTTTGTTGCATGTAAATATTGATGATCATTTGTTGATAAACAACAATAAAAAACATGTTTAAAACTTAAACGAAATATACCACTAAGAAATGCATATAAAATTGGATTTGTTGATGAATTAACAAATAAAAGAAATTGTGTCATATTTGATATTGGTGCAAGTAAAGAACTTGTTTGTGGTAATAATTCACTTATTGCCATTATTTGAAATGTCCAATATGGTGAACAACATAAAATATGTACACTGATAACAGCCAAAACTAAAATCGATACTTTTCTTCGTGTACGTGCTGATGAACGTGAACGACGATGTTGTTGAGATACTTTATGCTTTAAACGAAGTGCAATTTGTATATAAAAATATATCATTAAACCAAATGGTAAAACAAATGTTATTATTGATGTATATATAAAAAATATGTAATAGAGTAAATGTGAATTAGAATATGGAAATATTATAGTACATAAAACTTTTAATGTAGAACTAGTTTCAGTGGTTGTAAATGCCATAATAGGTAACATTAAAATAAATGAAAGTATCCATGTTAATAATAGAAGTAAATTTGGATTAACCCGTGAACGCCATATTATAGACTTCGGTGAATGACAAACAGCTAAATATCTATCAAATGCTAATAAAGCTAAAATAATAACTGATGTATATTGATTAACACCTTGTGTTAGAAAAAATAATTTACATATAAAACCACCAAATATCCATGCACGAGTTATAACAACTGAAGCAAAAAAAGGTATACCACTTAAAAAGATAAAATCTGATAATGCTAAATGTAATAAATATGTATTTGTTACAGTTTTTAATCGACCATAATTAAGTACAACATAAATAACAAGTAGATTTCCTATAACACCAATAAACATAACAATCACCAAAAGAATAGGAAAAATTAATAAAAATAAATTATTTTCAATCGTTGTTGAATTGTTTATATATATATATGAATTATTATTCAAAATAGAATCATTATAATTATTCATTTTTTATGAACAAATACTGTTTTATTCTAAAACAAAGAAATTGTATATATATGGGCGTGCTCAGTTGACATGATATTCCATTTTGGTACAGTCTTATTGAATGGATAAAACATACTATTGTCCGAGTCATATGAGAGAGGATCCCAGATAACCCTGAATTGGCGTGAACAACACCATGTTTTATCCTTACAATAATAGGGAAAAGCTACCAGCTAATCGTTTGAGCTAGTAGCTTTTCTCTACTATTGTAAGGATAAAACATGGTGTTATTGAGACCTATCCAGGGTTATCTGAGATCCTCTTTCATATGACTCGGATAATAGTATATTTTATCCTTACAATAGGACTGTACCAAAATGGAGTATCATGTCAACTGAGCACGCCCATATATAGGATTGCAGGGATGCACAAATTTCTAGAATAGAATGACACAGATGACATTTATTTCCTTATTAAGAATAGTTTCTGTGCATTGTTCACTTCAATTACGATCAGTGTTTTTTTTTATCTCTTCGAAATTGTAGTCAAAAGTCATGCAATACAAAAACAAAAGTATGGGAATTAATCGAAAATCCACATTGTTTAGATTATTTTTGACCAATTTCAACGGATTTTGAAACCTATGTTTGGTATTAGACAAAGCCTAAGACTAGCTTCGAAAAGAACGTTCAAAATTAATCATACCTTACATGAAGAATTGTTAGAAGTCTGGCAATTTTTAATCCAAGAAATATTCTAACTTTCGATTAGAAATTCAACGGATTGATCCAGTCCTACTTATAAAAACACATGTTCAGTATTGAAAATTACCATACCCCTAGAAATTCTTCATATCAGTTGTGCTTAGTTTTTGAACACTCTTTCCGAAGCTATTCTTAGGTATTATCTAATACAAAACATAGGTCTCAAAATTAGTTGAAATTGGCCAAACAAAACTAAAAAAATGTGAATTTTCGATCAGTTCTAAAACCTTTTGCTTTGTATTTCATGACAGCTTCGAATAGAGCAACAAAAACCTAGCCATGTTTGATACAAACAATCTACAGGAACTAAATTCTTAATAAAAAAAAACTGTTATCTTGGTTACCATGTTCTAGGAACTGACACATACTTAGAGGATTGGAGCATAAATAATAGGGTGATAAAAATATACTAAGAAAAATATATGTGTAGCATTTCAAGAAAGAGCCGAATTTTTAATTTCAAATCGCAATAGTGAAAATACAAAAATGTGCGGAAAAAGTTTCCGCCTAAACTAATTTTTTTGGCTTTTCAAAGACTATTTCACTACTCTCAAACAAAAATTGAGACAAAGTTTCTAAGTTCATATTCAAAAAGAGCACAAAATTCTCGCCCTAATTCATTAGAAATACTTTCTAGCGAATCAAAAGTCAACAAACACCTTAAATAAAAATTCCTCGATCACCCATTATAACAACGACAAAAAAATATTAATGAATAAGTATCAAAGTAATGGGGAAAGATTGTTTTACTTACTAATTTCTGTCAATTAATACTGTAAAAAAAAAGACATCAATTCACACATTTCTTTTTACACCTAAGATCAAAGCTTTGTTTTTTTAAATACTATTTGGTATTAATCTCTAGTTACTCATTTTCGAACAGTACATTATTTAGAGTTTCTTTTCTATTAGGACATCTTTTTCTTGCCTACCATCGCTTTATCTTTTTGATAATCATCGTAAAAAGAAATAAGTGTTTGGTTGGGTCGGATTATCATCTCTACTTTAATATTGTCTATTATTCTAATCAAATGATTATGTTTTGTGCTGATAAGATATGACATTATGGTGACAGGGATTATTTTGAAGATATTTACAGTAATAAATGGGAATGAACAAGATTTTTGATCGAAAAAATAGAAGATGACGGTTACCTGTTAAACAGTCTAAATGAATAAAAAGAACCGATGATTTCATTAAAAGAATATAAAATATTTATAAGAAATCTGGTAAAGGAGAAAAACAAGTCGAAATTGGAAACAAAAATTTTTTGTTAAGGTGGAAAAGTGCATATAACAAATTAATAAAAATGGAAATGAAGATAGTTTTCTTTTCATTCGATGATCTTTTTCATCGATTACGAAATTAAGTTTTCTTAGGAAAGGATAACATTTCTTCAAACAGTAGGAAGGAAAATTAACACCTCTGATATTCATAACAACGGATGAAAAAAAAAAGGAAATGAACAAGGAAAAAAGTTGAGAGTCTTCTTCTCCTTTGTTAAACTAAGAGTGAGGGATAATGAGAAGAGAAGATAATATATTCATGTTCTTAGTTATATAAGAAACATTGAGCAGTTTTAATAAAAAGGCAAGAAATAGATTAAAAAGAGGAAAAAAAGTGTGAATAATTAAAAGAGAAGAAGACAAAGATAAGTAGAACAGTGTCTATATGATGAATGAGAGGCGAGTTACAACTTAAAAATTAAAAAATATATGAAAAATTAATTTTGACTTTTCTATATCCTTTTATTTTATTAATACTAGAATAAGAAAATGAGTTTAATATCGATGAATAAAAACATTTACTTCAAACTATGTCTTAAATTAAAGCTTTTCAATAACGTCAAATCTTGTTTCAACAAACTCCTAGACTTGCTGACCTTAAATTCAATTTTCCAGATACATTGAATAGTATCTTCATCAACTATTCTTTCCTGTTGAATGTTCATTTCCCTATAGATCCAAGAACAATAAATATATATATACGCCTGGAAAAAATTTGTTCGAGTCTGTATTTTAAATGTATCGTCATTATAAAAACAGTTAAAAAAAACACGGATTACATATTCTAAAATTACTCAAAGTTTTGTTTTATCCTGTGTGTTTATGTTCTTGCTTACTTTTATTCACTTCTAAAATCAATTGAGTGTCATGAGAATATACTAATCACTAGACTTCCTTGAACTTCAGGCTGTCATTGTCATCGAAATCAGTTTTTCAAAATTTCTCATCACTATAGAATTACTTTTTTGTTTAAAAAGTAACTATTGATTACAATAGAACTTGAGATTCTCTATTATTCCATATATTTATTATTATATTGCATTTATTAGTTGCAGCTCATAAATGCAATACAATAAATAGATATATGGAATAATAGAAAATCTTAAACCCTATTGAAATCAATAATTACTTTTCTAAAAGAGTAATTCTATAGTGATGAAAAACTTTAAAAAACTAATTTCGATGACAATGCCAGCCGGAAGTTCAAGAATGTCTAGTAATGAGTATACTTTCATGGCACTCAATTGATTTTGAAAGTGAATAAATATAAACAAGAACATAAACACACAGAATGATAGAAAACTTTGAGCACTTTTAGAATGTGTAATTCGTCTTTTTTTAATTGTTTTTATATCGACGATATATATCTAAAATACGAGCTACAACTATTTTTTCGCAGGCTTATATATTGATTCTTAAAGCCGTTGTTTTTGTCAATGTTGTATGACGATGGATAATGAATAGATATTGATACTAATCCACTAATGTGCTTCCACAGTATATAATTTCTTGTCAGTATCTTATCTGACAAAAAAAACAAGACATGCAGCATAAACAGCTATTTTTGGTTTTTTTTAGACATCCGATAGCTAACTAGTTTCTTCCTATATTCTCATTTACCTTTTTCGGCATCAGATTTTGCCAACCTATAATTATCAATTCTATGCCCAAAGGTATAATAATCTACTAGCGCATCTTTAGAGGATTAAAATGTGAAACACGCTGATGCTCCTGACATTATCAAAGAGATAATTCACCAACAATTTTTTTTCGGTTTGTAGATTACTACTTACGGTTGCTGTAGGTCGATAATGAAGGATAGTAATCATAATATATTATAATCACTGTAAAAGAACAGCTAATACGTGTATCTGAAGTTCAATTTCCTATTATGCTAATCCTGTACTCTGATAAGTATACCTGTCACGCCCTATAACAGAGAGGAAACGTCCATTCCAGTTTTATTCCAATATCTGTGTCGTCTGTGGCATGGAGGCCTAGATTTCTATTCTTCTATTTCAAGGTTTCTTGTAGATCTTTGTTGACAGAAAGCAGCACAACTACAAAACTTCTATGATAATTATGTGCCATTCCGTCTTGACGTTCATCACATAGACGACAAAATTAATTGCTTTAGTTATACATATACCTCTGTTTGGTGCAAGAAAAAAAGAAAACTGATAACACATATACACAAGAAGCAAAGAAAGAAACAAAAAAAAATGCAATAAAGAATAAAAGTTTTTACATATACACTGAAAAGATATAAGATTGAAGTAATAGTAAAAAGAAAACAAAATCAATTTGTTCGTTATTATTAATTTATATATAACATATATCTGTCCTTGGATTTTTTCTTTTTTGAAAATATATATATGCTTGCGCAAAATCGTCACAAAAAATATGAAGAGAACAAAAAGAAAAAGAAAAGTCATGACTCTCTTGATTGTCATATGACACGTAAAATTTCTTTTCTTTTTTTTGATTCGTTTCCTGTTATACATCCCGACTTTCATAGAATAAAATATAGCTAGTCTCCGATTGACGACCAAGATCATGAGAAACACCATAAAATTCTTCAAAATTGGACGGATCGAGTCGCTATTAACAAAAGAAGCAACTATATAAAATTATTTAATCAACAAAAAAAAAAAAATTTCTTACATCAACAGTTTCATCATCAAAAACAAGCCAAGAACCGTCTCGTTTAACAACAGCTATATAATGACCACGATTTGGCCCAATACCACAATGAACAACAAGGGAAACAAGATCATAAATACGATCACTATTTGTACAATCTTCTGACTAAAATTTTAAAAAAATTATATTTAAAAAAAAAAGAGGAGCAAATTTTTTTTTACCGTATTAAGTAATCGAAGTTCAAATGGAAAAACTACACGATAGGATAACTTTTTATATTGTTTAAATACTTCAAAATATTTAAAACGTTTTAGATGAAGTGCTAATA